CAGGTTATACACAAAGCTAGACCTTGGCTCATAGGTTTTCCAGGAGCTTAGCTGTTAGTTTTTACACAGTTTAACTACATGTTTAGACAAAAAAGTGCAAGTGATCTCTTTTGTAATTTTTCAACAAATTTGACTTCATACTACAACTATGATCTTTAGCTCAATATTTTAAGAAGACGGGAATTGAAACAAGAACAAAACTTTCTAAATATTCCTGTAGTTACTTTAGGAATTTATATATATTACATTCAAGATCAGACTTTTTTATTCAGTCACACAGTGGCTGGAGAGACTTAGGCACACCTACCAAATCTGATGCTTGGTTATTTATTGCTTTTCTTCCTGGCATTCTCTTGCCTCAGTTTTATGAACAAAAGAATGTGCCTGTCTATGTGAGTGACTCCTTATTGCTGTTGGTTAGAGATACCCAAAGGGCACTTTTAGCTCCTGCAATCCTGCCCAAAGCCACACCTCATCCGAGTGGGGAATCTGAAGAAACAGTAGCAGCAGAAGATATCTTTTTATAATTTTTTCATGAGACTATTTCTGCCCTCTGGCCCACTGATTTTCAAAGAACCTTTTAAAGTACAGTTCTGAGCCTGCTTTGAAAACTTGAAAAGATGTGATTTTCTATAGTTAGTGTGGGACTTCCTTCTCTACTGTATTTCTTAGAAATCACAGTATTTAGATACTGATGAGATGAGAAAAGCAATATGGTTCAGGGAGTACCATTCTCTTGAAGTATGCATGTTAGCAGATATGGCATGTTCAACTTTCAGACATGAATTCAGTTCTGCAGTTAAAAAACAAAGGAAAAAAACCAAAATCAGTTTTGTCTCCTTCAGACGCATCAGGGAGTGATGTTCCAAAAATGGAAAGGAGAGGCTCATGTCTCTTCAGAAGTCTGTGGAGCAACCTGAGTGTGCTTTTAAGGGAACATAACTGTTCTAGTCAAAGCATAGTAATTCTTTATACTTTCTGTACTGTCAGTACTATCCCACATCATCCTTGAGCAGGGCTGTTTCTTAAATGCCATTTTTTAGAAGTTTGAAATTATTTCTTACTGTTGTTCGTTAGGAGCCATTGACAGAGGAAGATGTTAACTACTGAAGAATAGCACAACTTGGCTAAATTGAAGGGGAAGAATTCGTTTAGTATGGGTGTTAGGTTGAAATTAACTTCAATCTATCCACTAAAAAGTTTTTAATTTCATTACACATGCTCCAGAAATTAATTTCTTGTTTAGTATTCTTGACTGGCTCTGCTGTAGCTCCTTTTTGCATGCAAATTTAAAATGCATACAGCTTAATTCCTCATACTCGCTTCCAACCTCTAATTTATCACAATTGAATCACTGTTCTCGGGTTCACTGTGCAATTAGTGACTGCCTGTTTGGATAAATGCACCTTTCTCTTTTTAAAAGTCAGGCTGCTAGATTTTCTTTTCTGCAATCTAATTTGCTTAAAGGCAAATGCATTACAGATAATCATAGAATGGCAATGAAAGAGATGTGCTCAGTTCCTATTTTATCAGGCTACCTATGCTTGATGAGTTCTCCTATTACTTTGGTTGCTCTGTTTATGTTACTGTGACTTTTTTTCGAGGAATGAATTCCTAGTTTCGATGGTCAGTAAGAAAAAAGCCTTTCTTTTATGTCTTATGAGCTGGTTGATAGGGTAGCAGACCTCGGAACCTTCTTGTGTGACTGCTATTTACTTGAATATCAAGTGCTTATCTTCTCGTGCTTCCTTCTGTGGCTTACCAAGAGAGTTTTTATTATCTTCAACCCAAAAGACTTTATTTTAAAAGGCTGTTTTCCTCAAAGCTTTCAGTCAGAAGATAGGACCTGGAAACATATAATCTATAATAAATCTCATCTCTTATATTGTGTAGTTGCTTATGTGATTTGTGAACTTTTGATCACAAGGGTGAGGAGGTCTGGTTGTGTTACCTAAAACAGAGGTTACAGTATTTTCACGACATTTCTAATCTATACAGGAAAGCAAGCAACTCTTAAAGCCTTTATTTCCAAATAATATGGAGAAGGTGAAAGCAATTGAATTACAATGTGTCTCAGAGAAAGTAAAAAGAAAATTGCTTCTGTAAAGAAGTCTCTAGTATAATTTTGTCACTTGGCTGTTTGTACCTGCCATTTTGTCCCCATATATTAATCCTAGCAGATAACTATGTAATCACCATACTTTCTATAATAGGGGAAGAAATGAAATGAAAGCAATTGATGTAAAAGAAATGGAAATGCAATGTTATAAATAGTGAAGTACAAAAGAGTAAGAACTAGTAGTGAAATATGAACCAGTTTGACAAATTAAGGCAAATTTTAATAAAATTGGAAAAAATGCAATTAAAGCTTTCGTGATACCTTAATTCCAGAAAGACATTGAAGAAAATCTTTGAAAATAGCTAGCTAATTCCAAAGCTTTGAGTCTTGGCTGTTTATTTCTTTCAAATATTTGATAATTAATTAGTTAATAATTACAGATTTAGGGGAGGTAATATGGTAATATGTGTAATTTTTCTAATAACATTTGCATATTTCATTGTTTTTGGGATTCTTATAAGGAAAAAGGATGGACTGGTTATTGTTTATAATATTTATAAAGTTTACGTTTATTGGCAGTAAACTAAGTGAATTTCCTCAGTCAAGACTGCCTTGCCCATGTGACTCTAATTCCAGAAAGCATCGAAACACCACCATTCCCTGGGCAGAAAAGAGCTGATGGAAAGCAAAACAATGAGGAGAAGTATGGTAAAAGTTGTCCCTTGTGAGTGGTCAGTGGTCTCATCCACAGCAGTGGATCACTTGTTCAGTCTCACATAATGGAGGGAAACATGCTTTTTCAGGGGTGTGCTTTTTCCATTTATGCAGCTTGTTTTAATGAAGCAGGAACTCAGAAGTGCTGTTGTTGAACTTGCTTTACTTAACCCTTCTTGAGAAAACTGAGTTTTCATACTTAATCACTAAAACATGACAGAAAATATCTGAAGCATGTACCACCTATTTTCCTTTCATCTAAATTCATTCATTAGCTTCCTCATATTAAAAGCCTCTAAGACACAATTAACCCTTTTTTAATACTGTGAAACTTGAAACAATCGGTAAAACTCATTAAAGCAGAGAAACTTACTTTCAAAAACAGTTTAATATTATAATTTTCCTGATTTCTTTTCTTATGAATAAAGTAGAATACTAAGGGTATGGCCATCACAGTTCCAGTCTTAACTGGCTGTTCAAGTAATTAATGATAATTGGTTGCTTTGCATTGCAGAACTGTGCTTCGTGATAGAAGATCCTTTGATGAAATAATTTTCTATAGTGGAATGTTTTCTTCTGAGTATGCATCATATAATAATGATACTGTCAGCAAGTCCTTTTTGTCCAGTAAGAAGAAAATATAATTGAAGATAAAAAAGCATTACCTAAAGTCTCACTTGTTTCTCCCTCTTTACATTCTCTTATATTGTGAATTGTGCTATTCCCTCAAGAAAGCAAACATCTGCTTAGGTTTTCTGATTTACCAAGTTGTTTTTGTTTTTAACATCCTTTAAAATGCACAAACATGCAGTTAATTGTATTTTCAGTACTAACTTTATTGCTCTTGTGTTAACATACATGAAGGTTGAATTTCATCTCAATTTAAAAAAAATGTACTTTTGCTGAGATTTTGTTAGTTGCCTAGTCTGTTCCTGGCATTATATAAACAATCTTAGAATGGAGAAATTGATTAGAATTGCCAATATTCAGAATAAGTTTCCAAGCTTATAGGCAACGTTGTTTTCATTCTGCATGTTTTTGCAGGATGAAAATGACTGATTGCAGAGAGAACTACCATGAAGTAAAATGGTGACTTTAGAGCAATAAACTGCCTTGGGTTTACAGTAACTGCAATAAAATTATCATGAAGCAGTGTCAAAGTGTTGATTTATTTGTACTACTAATATTAGAAGTAATGAAATTGTAGGATTTCCAGGTATGGTTATAGCATTTGCTATCTGTTTTATTATTCAACTCAACAGGTATTGTATTGTACAATCATAAGGTATTTCGTAATGTAGCTTTTGCTGAAGAAGAATATTCATAGGAAAATAGCTCTGATATTTAGCCTTCTGTCACAGAAGCGATCATACTGGATCTTTATGTGGGTCATTCTAATTTTATCTTAAAACTATGGCAAAAATAAAACTAGGAAAAGGATGTGCTTTTAATTTTTGTCAACTATATTTGGTAACTAAATTCAAAGTACTCATATTTTCTAAAATATATGACTTGGAAACAAGTGCCTTTTTGAAATATGGGCAGGATGATTTATGTTCTGAAAGTGCTACTTGTTATATACTTAAAAACCATTGGGTAACTAGTAGAACAGGATTTTCAGAACTGCTCAGCATCAACCTAATTCTGTCCAGAAGAAACTGAAAAATGAGAGGACTCAGACCCATCCTTAAAAGTCTCCATGTGACTGTGTGATAATATTCTTATCTGCTTCCTCAGTGAAGTTAAGGTAAAATTACACTTAAAATTACACACCCAGTGAGAAATGTGATAAAAACCTATGTATAGGCAGATGTGAATGCTGTAATCTGCCAGGATTCCTCTTACTTGATGGAAAACAAGATATGATAGAGACAAAAATTTGGAAAAAAAATTATTTAAAGGTAAAATGTATTTGGATACATATTTGTGTAGAGATAGGACAGCATTATAAATGGGAAAGTATAACATGAATTGCCATTGCAGGCAATGTAGACATTTTAAGAGATAAAAAAGTTATAAAAATGTATTACTGATTTGTGCCTTGTTAATAAAATACCCTAATTCTAATCAACCATGCAATTATTTCTAACAATCTTTTCAGCTTAGCTGATATGACTCCAGAATGCAAAGCTTTCTCAACCGCAATGATTTGCTGTAGCTACTTATCAGTACACTGAAAAAAAATACTGTGATTCTTTATAAAGCTGTCCTTATCCTTCTTCTTAAGGTATGGGATGCTGTAGATACAGGCTGCTGTTTAAAAACATACTCCTACCACTCCTGTGCTGTTCGAGCTGCCCAGTGGTCGTCTTGTGGAAGAAGGATCCTCAGTGGGGGCTTTGATTCCACACTGCATTTAACAGATGTAGAAACAGGTAAAGGTCATGAAGGGTGCATTATAACCCTGTCTTTATTGTGTACAGATAACTTGGGATCTTGTTAGCCTTATTCTTTCTTATATAGATAAAATCTGTACATGAAAGTCAGAGTTCTTGAAGCATGTCCTTACTTTAAAAAATATATATCAGCAATTAAGAGTAGTTGGAGAAATTTGAGAACATTGGAATATCTTTAACTTCATGATCACAGGTAATTTCTGTTGTCAGATACTACACATATGAACAGAATGAAATGTGTATTTTTTGTGCTCTGTCATGGTCATTTATTAAAGTGTTTGAAGAGCCTCTTAAAGCTGCCTTCAGTTACATTTATACATATGGTTAATTGAAATATAGGCTTGTATCTCATTCTCAATTGGGTTGGTTTTAAATTTGTGCCTTAAGTTAATTGGGTGTTTGTTTATTTTTGTTTGTTCGTTTTGTTTTTGGTTTTTTTCTGAACAGAACCTTAATTAGGAGTATAGAAACTTAAATTCTAGTATGAAACCTTGAGACTGAACTTGGGTTGCTTTGATGCATTTCTGGATTTGATTTGGGATTTGATTGTTGTAACCTTAACAAAACTAATTTCCTGGATGCTGTCTCTTCTTTTCTCTTTCACAAACTGAAGTGCTTCTGTCAGCTATATTTCTTCTCTCCTTTATGTATGTTACCAGCATTCATACAGCAGTGTTCACTGGGGCTGTGCATAATAGGACATCTGTGTGTGTGTGTGTAGATGAATTAGGTCCAAAGTAGGACTCTGTCAAGGGAAGAGATGCCATTTTATGTTTTTCACTTAATTTATTTTTAAGTGTTTAATTCCTGCAAAGGTGCAATATTTCTTGTTAGACTACAGTAAAAATTCTTACAAAAATTGCCAGCAGGTTTTGTCTAAGAGGATTTTCTCTTACATAAAAGCAAGGACTACGTTGTATGTGAATATCTGGAAAGCAGAAATCCTATTCAGATGAACTGGGAAAGTGGCCAAGGAAATTTGTGAATATTGTTCACATGAGAAAAGTATTCTTTTCCTTGCTCTAAGAATTTATTTTTTCAACAATTGTTGTACCAGAAGTATTTAAATTCAATGATGGCTGAAAGGGAGCTGTTGTAGTGTGGGAATGTAAAATATGTTATGGAATACTGATGTTCTGAGAATATTCAGGGTTTTTAATGAGAAAAGAGGTTTATATATCTGATGTAGTAGTACATGAGGTTAATATATCAAGTCATTAATTTGTTAGACTTCTTGTCTTTTTTTTTATTTTCAGTCTCAGTACAGCAACCTTTCTAGTCCCACATATAACTGAATTTTACTAATCCAAGTGGATTTACTTTTGTCTGTAATGCTTACAAATTCTAAACAGAATGGCTGTCTTTTTAATGGGATTTGTGGCAGTAGTATAGATTTTATGTATCTGAGTCATTTGATGGGACTACTGTGGGAAAAATCTCATTTCATTAAATCATAGCACAAATTTCAAAGATACGTAATTTAAATCATATACTTTAATTTCTAACATCTCTTTGACTTAACTATTCAGTAATGGGATGGTAATCTGGATTAAGTTGATTGTAGTAGTTCATTTATACTGCTCTAGGAAATGACAACAGTAACAAGACATATTTACTACGTTTCAAAGCAGATTAGTTTATAAATGGTTCTTTCCGTATTGATGGGTGAGTTATGTAGTGTTTGTAGCTTCTTAAATAAATTATATGTATAAAATGAATGCTTATATCCTTGGAAATACCAGATATTCATTATTACCTTATATAAAGAACACAGGAGCCCTTGTACTTTCTCTGAACTGCAGTTGTCATGTTGATGTTTGGACCTGACTTTCAGTGATATACACCTCATTTGGAAAAGTGTAATATAAGTGATCAGAATTTTATTCTGATTTCCTACGCATGCAAGGCAATTTCTGGGTTCCTTCCCTGTTGTAAAGTTACTCTTCTTTTCATGAATTTCAGTCAGTTCCTTTCAGAGAAACAGGGTGAGCAATTTGCCTCTGGAATCCAAATCAATTTGATATAAAAAACCTCATTTCCATTTGAAAAACACTAAGGCAGCTATAAGATTTTGATTTACATTAGTTCACTGAATCATTCATTCTTCCTCACTCTTCATCAGTGCTGAGATGATTTCTTCTTTGATTAACTTCAGATAGATGTTAGAACTACTCTTTCACAGAGGATTTTCAGATACCTTTTTGGACTTCAGTCTTAATTACTTTCCATTGCTAGTCTGAACTAACTACTAGCATGTTTAAATGCAGTAAACGCACACCAATGGGATTTTATAAATAATAATGCTGTCTTTAAGGCTCTCTGCTCTTGTATCTTGTATATTTTGTTCTGGTTCAACACTTTTCCTGTGTTGTTTGCTAAAATCTAATCCTTCTTATCTTTGTTTTCAGTGCAAATTTTATATATTACATCTGTGTTATAAAAATTGTTACATGTTCTTCACTAAAAGAAAACTAATGATCTGAAGAGAATTATTTTAAAAGCTTAGGAAAGGTTGCAAATACAGCTAAATACATGCATGGTATTGAGCTGCTCAGGTGCCCTTTTTTTTTTTTTTTTGTAATTTTCTGTTGGTTTTCTTTAGGAACATAGTTTCTGCCCTATTAAATCTAAATTGTTGTCTGGCTAATTGTTACGGGTCTGATGAGAGCTAGTTATGACATTCCTCTAAGGAATGTGCCAGCATAGTTTTAACAAACAGTGCTGGAATAAATTCCCCAGGAAATTTTGTTTCTAAAATTGGACTTCAGTTTGAGTATCCCTTGTCCTAATATATTGCATTTTCTGGAGTGATTTTTTTTAATCTCTATGATCTGAACAACATCAGAATAGAAACAAACACTGCAATCCCATTAATCATGAAACAGAATTTTTGTCATTGGCGTAGAAATCCTGATGTAAGGATAGAAAACACATCCTGAAATCCTATCCTGCAGTTTTACACCATCAGACCTCTTGCCCTTGTCATGTGTATTTAATGAAAGTTCTTATGTATAAGAATATCTAAGATACTGCAAGCAAAAAACAATGGGCTGATAGAAGTCTCATGAAGTTCAACAAGGACAAATGCGAAGTCCTGCATGTGGAATGCAGTAATTCTGTGCAACAGAATAGGCTGGTGATAAACTGGCTAGCAAGCAGCTTTGCAGAAAAATACCTGGGAGTTGTGGTGCTGAATATGAATCAGCACTGCTCTCTTGCAGCAAAGGACAACTACTTCATTCCAGGCCAAATTAGGAAGTATTTACCTAGGACACAGAGAAAATGATGCCAGGCTCTTCTCAGAGATGTGCAATGAAAGGAAAAAAGGCAAAGGACGAATATAGAAACACAAAAACTTGTTGACTCAACTCAAGGGTCATCAAACACTAAAGCAGGCTGTTAAGAGAAGCTGTGGACTTCAGTGGACAGACCCCTAAGCAACTTGCTGCAGCTGGACCTAATTCAAATAGGGATTTGGACCAGATGAGTCCAACCTGCATGATACTATGAAGAAGAATTCAAGCTAATGAGGTACAAGGAGTTTTCTTGTCCTGATTTGGTTGAAAATAGATGTTGTGCAAGTCTTTTTTTAAACTCAATTTTTGTAGATTGTCATTTATTATCTTCAATGGTCCTAGCACCAGGATGTCAAGATAAGAGTCTCCACAAACATGGTTTTCTTAAAAGCCATTCTACACATTCAGAATTATGGGTCTGATCCAAAATATGCGTAAAATGTTTAAGGAACTCAAGGTTATTCACGAGTCATTCACATGAGTGGTTCTGTGGTTGCACTTTGCATGAAGCAAGTTCAGTACTGCAGTATGGAGTTTCATAAATATTGGTAGATCCAAAAACTGCAGATGTGCTGCCTGGTGTGAGTTAATATTTTTTTTAATTGTTCTATTTTATATACATTATTTCCTTATAAAAATAAAGCCTTTTGAATGGTTTCATGAATGTGATAATAATGCAGCAGTCTCAGACTCTCTGGTTTTGTTTATCTTTAATAACACCACACTCACAGTCATTTTCTACTATTGATAGTCCAGACACTTCGTTATTTACAGAGTAGTAAATAGAGTTATATTCAGAGAGCACTGAAAAAAATTCATTTTAAAACAATTCTAGGTCAAGTACATTTGACTTTTACCTTCTGTTATGTCCAGATGTAATGGAGATGCTCTACCAACTTTAGAAGGGTAATTGTATTTTTAAAATTTATTTATAACTATTTTATTTTTGGAACGTATGTTTTATTCATCAGTGGATTTTTCATTAGTCACAAATGAATTGGTATAATAGCATAGGCAGAACATTGGCTGGGTTGTTACTACTTGCATATTGTAGATACTTTTCATTTCTTTAATATTATGACAGAGGGAATGTTCCAAGAAATTTTGGCACATTTCCTACGTTACCAAATGCTGCAGTTGTATTTTAGTTCGTGAACTGAGGTTGATTTCAACTATCATTTCTGCAGAGTTATAATGGGAGGGAGAGTTTCTTAATGGAACATTTTGTACCTCCAAGAGGATGGTTCTAATTTTCCTTTCTATTTATTTTTTTCTATTCTAATTTGGTAGTCCTATAGATATAGCAATGTAATTGTATTTTTCACGTAGGAGTTTTAGTTCTCATACCTAAACATCACTTCAGGAGAGCTGTGACTTTCTTCTGTTCCTCCCTTTCTCTCCCACTACTATTTAGATAATATGTTTTAAAATGCGGTAAGGTTTAATATGATACCTCAGAAAAAAACCCAGTTGATTGATATTTTTTGTTTGCTTGTTTGTTTTATTTTTTTTTCTTTTGAGTGCATGCAAACAGTCTTGATATGAGGTCAAAGGTTTCCCCCAAGATTCAGCAGTTTTATGAAATATGTTGAATATAGTTTAGAGGTCACTCTCCAGCTAGGAGATAACAGCATTTTGCTTTTTATACTCACTGATATGAAGTCTTTGCAAAAAAGAAGAGAGAAAAGTATTTATTTTGGGGACATTTTAAAGATTAAAAGATAAAACAATTTATTATTTCAAGCATCTTTGCATGCTGTGAACTTGTGAATATGTAGGGGAAAAAAATTAGGAAAAATATGTAGTTAATATAACTTTGATTCTTGAAAAAATAATAAAGTCATTTGTCAGCACATCAAGACAACGAATGGAGATGTAACAGCCAACACTGATTTACTAAGAACAAATTATATCTGATCAATCTAATGTTTTTTCTTACTATTGTGCATGAGAGAGACTGTGACTGTAATGAAATTTTTTTGTATATATTGTCTTATGTCTTTTTGTAAACACAGTAGGGAAATCCTTTCTGCTTAGCAAGATTGCTCTCGTGTCCTTGTAAGTCTCAGGCTTCACTTTTCTTCACAGATTAGAGTAAGAAAGTGAATGTTTTTGGGTTATGCAGGTAGGTGTGTGAACCTGAGGACCACTAAACACAGTTACAGAAGCATCCTGTGCTTGGTAACTGTGCTGATGTTCTGTGGAAAACTCATGATGTTAAATAGCCTTTAAAACATCTGATTTCACAGTTGAGCAGTTTCACAGTAGGCTGCTACATAAAAATGCAGAAACATACATTCAGTGTATTTTTAAGATTTTTTTCCATTCTGTGTATGTGAGTGGTGAGCCTTTAGTGCATGAAGAATTGAATTAAAGCTTTTAAAGACTGTAAAACACACTGCAAAAATATAGGATATATTGTTACTGAAATTGTGAAAATTAAAGATTGAGAGGAAAGTTTGCTTTCTGCTTTGGAATAACAGCCTCTTGTACAAGAAAATGATATGTGCTATGGATTTTCCTTCAATTAGCCAAAGAGATTTTCAGAAGACATAATTTTCTAGGCTATGAGTTGGTTGAGGCAGCTTTTTAATGCTGCCTGTAGGAATGAAAATGTGATAAACATATACACAATAAGGGTATATACAATCTTGCTGAATTACAGCTTTGTTATGTATAAGGGAGTCTTCTGCTCAAAGACCACCTTTTACAGTATATAAAATAAGGCCCCCCAAAGTTGAATATTTGATGTTAATAAACTGAATAATTGTAAAAAAATATACATAACTGTAAATAACCATTTTCAGAAAGGTGTAGGAGGATCTCTAGCAAACACTGTAGCTGGATTTCCTAAGCTGCAGGGATAGTTCCATCATAGCAGCGAAAGCAGCAAATTCTGCTCATAGTAGTATAACACACTAAATAAAATTTGTACAGAAAAGGGCTAAGAGTTGAACCCATCCTTTCAAATTACTGAATGGCGTGAGCCAATTTGCTTCGTGTCGTCATCTACACTGATCTGTTCCACCTCTCAGATGGATATTTTTCCTAAATTTCTGAAGTTCTGCAAGTGTATTGTGCATAAATTTTAAATCTGGCAATAGGAGGGTTTCCTTTCTCTAACGTTGTGATCCTCCCCTTCTGAGTATGTTTGCTGCTGCTTAGCTCATCTACATTCTAGTCTTGGTTCTTTTCTGTGACATGACAGTAAAATGAAATTAATGTATACATCTAATAATGTCAAACTCTTCAGAACACTGTACTCAGTTTCCAAAAAGAGATATTTGATTGAATTTCACTTTGGGGAGTGAGAGGACAAGAGAGAGAGTTGTATTTCAAAGTACTAATTGGAGAGCCTGAGTTTGTAAGATTAATGGTTAATATCTGCATTAAATGGTAAGGTAGCAGCTTAAAATAGGAAAAAGAAGGACATAAAGAGTATAGAGGTGAATAAGATTCTAATGGTTTGCATTTATTTTATTTATTATTACACTGTAATGTAGAATTCATAACACTGAGATCATTACGTTTTAATTATATTAGTGACTGTCACTGAGAGCTTTGGGATAAATGACAGCCTCTAGAAGACAAGAAAAGGGCAAATACAGTGCCCATTTCTCTTTAAAACAGGGCAAGACAGAATAGGAAATAGGAGCATTTTAGTTTCTGGAGAAAATATCAGGTGAATGATTGAATTATTTGGAAGCAGCTGGAGATAAAATTGAAAAATTGACTAATTAATAACAAATTATGTTAAATCAATCTTTCTGTGGAAAAGGTAGCAACTTGTAGTTAATATACGAAACGCATCTTGAATTTAATGCACATCTTTTTGGTTGATTTTCTTGTGTCTTAGGCTGGAGAACATGAATGCACATTACAGAAAAAGCAGTTTTCAGAAGTCTTGTGTAGGTAAAAACAACGTAAAGGCAGTGTTTGTCAAAAATTATGAGTTCCACTGGATCAGTTATGTATACGTCTAATGCTGTTTGGACAACACACTTTGTGGAGAACAGTGGTCACTTGATGTGTCCTTTATTAAGTTGTATGACAGGATTAGTACAGATAGGCTGCATTTATGCTTATTTCTGGCTGTAGTCCCATCAAAAACTTGTTGATTATACTCCTGGAGTTTTTATTAAGCTGGGAACTAGTAGGAACCAAATTCCTTTGGGAGCAAAATGCTATTAAACTGACTAGTGAGCCTCCATGGGGAAATTCAGTATTTTCTCAAGTGCTGTAGATGAGAGTGGCTTTTCTAAAGCCCCCACAAATGACGCCTGATAGTGGTGTACATGAGAGCAATATCTTGTTGTTTCTATAACTGATGATTTTAATACTTTCTTCTTTCCCTGTGGAGTCTTTTTTTTCCCCTTTAGCTGTTGGGCAACTGAAAGCTCTCATGGCAAAAGATGGTCACTGTTAGATGTGACTTGTTGAGAGAACCTCTGCTGCCCTTATGACTTCTTTTCTCATTTTGGGGAAGAAAGTTATGGACTAAATGAAGTGTTTCACTTAGTAGTGACAGAGCGACTCTTTAGATCTTGCATGGGCAATCAGTGGAGAATCATTTTTAAAAGGACAAAAATCCCCTACAAATACCAGTATTCACATACAAAAACACTCACCTCAGCCTTGCCGCTGTTAGCTTGATGAGCACATGAGATGAAGTAAAATCTTTGTCTTCTCATCTTTAAACTGAATAAATAAATAATTTGACAAGTTTTAGCCTCTTGACTGTGTAAACTGAGTTCTGCAGATGGAGAAAATGGAACTGGTGATGAAATAAAATAAATTGGCCCCAGATCATGAAATAAGCATAAAAAAATCTATATGAATGATTTTCAGTATTGTGCACCTAACAGTAAGTATTTACATCTGTCAGTATTGTTTTTAGCTGAAAGTATTTTCTGTTGTTTAAGAAAGCCTATTTTAAGACACCCATCACTTGCAAAAAATGTAGATTAAAGTATATTTTAAGAAGCTTTTGTCATAGTATTTTAAAGGATTTTTTCTTTTTTTTTTTACTTCTGCACCTCATGTGGCTTAAAGCAGTAACTTTATTTAATGTAGATTTTTAAATGTGATATGTAGAATATAAATCACAGTTGATATTGTGAAAATGAGCAGATATATTTATCTTGGTCCCTGCTGCTGTTCCAAAAATTTATTTCAGTGAGTGTACATTAATGTAATGAATTTGTTAGGATGAAAGGAAGCAGTGGACTGTGGAAAAGTTCTATAAAATAACCTAGCCGAATTCTGCTGCCTTCAAAAGTGTTGACAATCCATTTGATACCAACCACAGGATCCTGTGGAGATTAGTGTACACAATTAAATGTTGAGAACAGTGTATCCATGGGAACAGCCTTCATATGATGGTATGCAAATTATTTCCTACTTTCATGATGAAGTTTCAGTCCTACCTTTACACAAAGATAAGTAAACAACTCAAGAATTGTAATATAGATTGAGATGTGGTATTTCTGTACAAGCAATGTTTTGTTCTAGTTAATTTTGTCCCACTGAAACGATGACTGTCATCTCTGTAAGGAAACATTCAACCACTGGATTTGTAGATTTATTCCTGCATGTTGTCTGAACTGGGACCTTGGTGGAACTCCTCTCCTTAGTGTGGGAAACCACTCGTTCTCTCCTTTCAGTAGGAAGCAGTCAGTGGTGCAGAGGTCCATAAGCAAGAGCAGTCTCATGTGGATAGAAATTAGTGAGTTGTCATCTATTATCATTAAGTTATAGCAGCCTCAGATACTTGAAATGTGTTAAAATGAGCATGTTCACCTTTGACAACCTTGATATCTTTCAAACTAAGTCGAAATGAATAACATATTTCATTTTCTGCTCAAATTTTAATCTCTACTTTTCACTTTATTTTAGGGAAGCAGATATTTAGCAGCAAAACAGAATTTAGGATCAGTGCGCTCAAGTTTCACCCTACAGAGTCAAATATCTTCCTTTGTGGAGGGTTCAGCCCAGAAGTTAAAGCTTGGGATATAAGGACTTCTAAGGTAAAGGAAATCTTTTTTCTATTTTAGAATGTGTCCTAGTCTGTGTGTGCTGTGTTTTACTAAGCTGCTAGATGTACTGTGGTGTAATATTATTCTGAAGTATTTTGGGTTTGTCATTGATTGCGTTCCTATTTGTTGATGTGAACCTCTGTAATGTTTTTTTAGTGCTAACATTGTACACAAAAATACTATTTTTTCTGTCTGTAGATATAAGAAATCTAATTGAATTAAACAAAGCCAATAGCTCACTTCAGGATTGTGAAAGGCAGTTGTGTACTAGGAAGCAGTAGAGATAACTTGCTCTTCAAGCTGTTGCGTGTGGGTCAGGATGTGTGTTTCTGTGCCTTGTGTGTAGAAGCCTGGAGTACTTTTTGCATTCATGAAGGGCCACAGAGCTGTGTATAGCCTCTGCTTTTACTTTATCATGAACTGTGAAGAAAAATGTGCTCCCAGCTGCCATTCAGAGCTCAGGGAAGACCAGAGCTGTACTCTGCCAGCGGGAAGCGTAAGGTAAACTGACATCTTCAGGCATTGAACAGTTCAGAGAGAAGCAGTGACTGTAAAGTGAGTTGTTCTTTGTTTTCCTTTGAATTTCTGTGTGGGTGGAACCTACTCATTGTAGTTAGCCATCTGTTTGCTCTTCAGGATGGCGGAAGGGATCTGAAAAAGATAAGATAGCGTATCAATAGTGCTTTCCTGTGGCACCAGACAAGGTATCAAACAGTATTTTATTCCAAGTAATGAAGACAATAAATGTGTTTGTCTCCTAAAGCAGCTCTTTCCTTTCAGATTTTAAATTCTGATGGTGCCTCAGCTCAACCACAACCAAAGTGTCAACTGATATGTCTGGCAAACCTAATTGTAATTTATATCTGCATAAACATAGATTCACGAAATGTTTCCTTGTGGACAGGAGCAGGTATGGAACAGCACCTGCTTTTTAACCTGGACAGAGGCTGCAAAGCAGCACACACATCTCAGGCTTTGATTGCCAAATATTGTCAACCACCTTAGCCTGAGGTTCTGCTGAATGTGCCTCCTACAGAAATATATGCGTCTCTGTGGTGTAGTACTGGAATTGGCTGATTGACAAAGGGTGGTTTGACTGTATTGGAAAGTTTTCTTGGTGAAACTGTTCCTGAAAACTGGCAGTAGAGAGGAAACACGTGTCCTTCACCAATGAATGGTGTAGCTGGAACAGGGAGAAGGCAAGTAGAGAGGTGTAGAGATAGTTTACATGAGGCATTATACCAGCAAGGGGCAGACAAATGCGTTGAGATGGAGGTTCGGTAGCAGATGGATGTGCAATTTGTGAGGTACTGGCCTGTGTAAAAGGCATTGTAAGGCAGCAAAGGAACAAGGCCGTATTGATGAACTGTAGACTTTAACAGCTAACCTATTCATATCTTCTGTAGTTCTGACTGCCAGTAGCCTGGTTTGAGATGATGTTTTGATATAGTAATTTTTGTATAAACTACGTCTGTCAAAATTGCAGAGGAAAACTGCAGTTTTCTGTATGTTACCACTGCACAGGTTTAAGAAACAATAGTTATGCTTGGGATCACCTTTGTGTGGGTTGCAGGGGATGACATAAACTGTTGTGTGTGTCTGTATGCATAGCCAGTAGTGAACACTTCAGGTGAAAACATCAGTGATTAATTTCCAGAGGACAAACAAAAACAGTAAAAATCATTTATATCTATGTAGAAGGGGAACCTGACTACTTAACATTTTATTAATTTGATTATACATTAAGTCTAAAACATCTCTCATGTTTTCTACTGGTTAGGGAATGTATTATCTTTATGTTATTTAAACAGTATTTTATTGTATCTTTGTGCTTTACTGCCCAGCTTTGGCTTTGACCCCTTGCTTGTGGGCCTGGGTGTGATGTCTTTTTCAAATGGGTACAGTGGTGTATTTCTGCTCTCATGGGCCATTCCCTTTCCACTTTTAATACCTTTGCCAAAGTAGATTGTTACATTATGTGATCGTTACATTATGAATGTTTCTGTTTGAGTGACAGTACTGCTGTTATGGTCAGTGTGTCACAACATTGCATGCTGTGGCATCCTTTGATCCCATCTTACAACGTGATTTCTCAAAAGGAAGTGTGTGCCATGGCTAGGATGGTATATACAGCAAAAAGGAGACTAGCAGAATAATGTGTTTGTATCTCTATGACTGACCATATGCTCATCTTTGCAATGCTGAAGATCCAGGTCTCCTTGAAGAGCTGTTGATCCCTGGGAGCTGTTTGTACCTGCAGGACGCTCCAACGCTTAGAAATATTATGTGTAACTGTAACTGTATTTCTGTGAGCTGATACTAATGAAGAGACACAGGAAACATCCCAATGTTATTACAACCAAATAATTTACTTTTTGAGAGAATAAAGAAGTGAATGAATATGTATTCTGACCAGTAAAATAGGAAAAGTTTTAGACCAGGTAAAACAAAAAATCCTGGCCTGTTTCTTTTATATAGGTCCTGTACTGGGCTCTCTCTGGAAGTTTTAGAAATTAGGAAACAATTATATTCTTGTAGAACTTCACCACTTATAAAACTAGCCAATTAAGTGGTGCATGAGGAATATTAATTTTAACAACCAGCAGTCTCTAATCACCTTAGAAACTGGAAGGCCTGGTAACAGATATTGATCCTTTTTTTAGATTTTTTATATGTTTGCTCATTTGAAAACCATAAATTTTTATGTACTGTGATTGTCTAAAGCAGGAGTGTGGTTCACTCTCTTACTCTGAAACATTTCTAAAAGGGGGAGAGAGCTTCTATTATCCTTTTATTACTTTTTATCCCCCCATCTAAGGTAGCTGTAGCTCAGTGATAGACTGTTAGTCACCTAGATTTGTATTGGTTTTAAAATTTGAAGAACTCTGTGTGTGTGTATGTGTACTGAGTAGATGTGGAAGGTCATAGATGAGTGGAGAAAAGGGGTAAAATATCAAACTCCTATCTGATTTTTTATGGCTGCTTGTTGCAGAGTGGTGAGTATCACCTGTACATCATTGCTGTAATATAATGTAGTTACATTTCAAACTCTCAGCCATAGAACCCTATGTTGGTTAGACATGAATTATCAGCATCATCAGTATGTCACATCTGCTTCTCCCTGGTGTGGGGATTTCAAAGAGTTTTTCAGGTGTTCCTGCTTTCAGCTTGTATTGTTATCTTTATTCACATATCTTTTCTATCTTACACTGTTACAGCCATAGTTAAGACTAGATAGTGTCCTGGCCAATATTTTGAAATGTATCCTGTCCCAACAAGTACAATTTGCTCTTAACTGAAATAGATGTCTGAGGCTTCTTGCCACTTTGTTTCAATTTTGATGCAAACAACCTTTATATCTTTCAAGTGCTTTCATCCTAATTCATAACAAGATTTTCCTGTTTTGCCTGTTCTTTCAAGTGTGTTAACCTGTCATTCAGCTTGGAATGATGTGTGGGTGAACTAATGATTCTTTTTGTTCTCATCATCATACTCCTGATAGCCTTTTCAGGCTTTGCAGCATATTTTATCAATAGAGTGAGTGCCCTAAATCAGGAGTCTGAATCTTGCTACTCATTGCACATTGAAAACTCAATTTCAGTATTGGCTGATAATTCAGTTTCAGGGGTCATTCTTTAGGATTTACTCCTGTGTTTTAGCATGTCTTAAAATTAACTCTGAGGCAAAATGATAATTGTATATCAGGAAAGAAGTGGATTTTTCGTGGAAATTCAGAGCAGAACATTAAGCATCACAGATGTAGAATGAGAAATAGTAAAAATATTATCCAATTATACATACATGCAGTAGTTTAAATGGGCTTCTTTATGCTAGTGTGCTACGCTGGTGCTTTCTTCTTATGGAAAATGACATAGAATAGCTGATAGTGGTATTTTTTAAAATTAGTACTTCTGACCAGGGCCATAAATTTATGAGCATAAATTACTGATATTTGTTAATCACTTGAATGTGGTACAAAAATTGGATTTCCAAGTCCCAGAGAAAATTTATCAAGGTAGGTTCGAGGCAGCCTTTCAGCTACTAAAGCGTTGAGAAATTTTAGGACAGCTAATAGCATTCCTGCTTTACACAATGCAAACCTTGGTGACTTGTGTAAATTAATCTTTTCAATTCAGTTTGACAGCTCACTCCTGATACAAGGGGAGTGAGTGAGTGGCTGCATGATACTTAGTTGCTGGCTGGGTTTAAACCACCACAGAAATGTACGTCAGGCTATTAATCAGAGAGGCAGATATAAAAGAAAAAGGAGGAATATTGAAAGATACTTATTGCTATCCTTGTTCTGTTGAGCAAATAGGCAAAGTGGTTTCAAATGTAACATTGGGTATTAAGCAAGACAAAGAATGAAAGAACAATGAGGGAGTTTAAATCTTTAAGATAAAGCTAGGCAATATACTTCAGAGAAATGAGTGGATGGAACAGCTCGTTAACTGCTCAGTGAAATGTAAAGTATACAGGCATCTCACAATTACAGGGACAAGTAGTCAAAGCCTGAAAAAAAGAAGAATAAAGGAGGCTGATGAATAGCCTGTAGAGATTTATTATAGTGGTATTTTTGTTTGTGTTAAACCCAGTTTTGTCTCTCTGGTGAAGAGATTATTCTGGAGATCTTATATTGCTGTATAACAGATTGATTGAATTTATGAAACATTTGGAGAATGTGTATAGAGACTTTATGAAAAGACCAGAAAACTTGGAAGTGAGCTGCTATGTTTAAAAAATAAAAGAATCTGCAGTGTCGACCAAGGAGAGAGCATCATATTAAACAACCCCCATGGGATCTTTGGACCTTGGAGCTGAACCTAGATAAACCTTGTAAAATGCCCTGAAAAAAGAAAGGTGCAATAACCCTGAGACCTTAAAGTAGGTATGTATTTTAGAAGTATTTCCTTCCTCTGAGCTGTGGAAGAATTTCTTAAGATGTTTAGCACAAGCCAGCACAGTAACCCTTCATTTTGGCTGATCTACAT